CGCATGTGGAAGTCGTTGGGTACATTTGAAACGGTGGAGCGATAAGCTGGGCGCATGGTCCCGGCATGAGCCGTGACCAAAATAATAGATGAACATCTCTCAGCAGCCAAGGTCGCCAGCGGTGGTTCACCTTCCGCCATAGCCGACTGCCTAGCAACCAAATAGGTCTTCAAAGGCTGATAGCGACGGACGTCGGCTGGCAATGTGACAGATAGTCACTTAAACCGAAACAGATTAGTCTGATACGCGCCGGATTTATTCGCAACGTTGTATGAGGCTGATGAGATAAAGCCCGGGTATGTTTCAGCACAGTGGCGAAAAATACGCGAACACTTAACTGTCGCGCTTCCCAGCTCTGTGCTGTTGGTGGAATCAAAATCGCGAGCAACGAATCATTAAGTCGCTTACTCCATGACCAATCCCACCATCTAACACATTGGCTCCCCTATCCACCCCCTCAGACCTGATGTTCCCTCCTGGACAGGTTTCTCTCGGCCGTGGCGTCTTGTTCCGGGTTGGCCCTGCTCGCTCGCAGTTTTTGTTGGCCGGCTCTCCGGCCTGTCTGGCCACGTCCCGGCACGAGGCGCGGACGCCGCCGGCGCTCAGGGACGAGTTTTAAGGTCAAACACCTGTCTCGGGGTCCATGACTCGTGCGGGGCGGAGCGGCGCGCGGCCCGCACCGCCGCAGGCGGAACGCCGAGGTGCGCACGGTTCGGTCAGACCCGCCCAAGTTCCGCAGTCCCGGGCTCTCGAGATGCCACTTGCGTTGTCGGCTTTTCATGTAATTCAGGTGCAGAAATTCTTATTTAATTTGACATCCCGATGTTGTTACGTTCTCGTTCAATGCTCCTCATGTTATTGTAATTTAGGGTTATCTGGCCGACAAGCCGCCAAATGACCGTGCGCAGCTCGTGCAGCGGTGCACTGGAAGGCACGATGGTGCCGGTGTACTGGTGCGGGTACGTATGCGGTAGTCATTACCCGGACGAGTCGCGGCCAGGCAACACGGGCAGGTAAGCGGGACCACGACACCCTCGCTCAGGCGATGCCCAACCTCACAGCTCCGCCACTTGAGGTCCGCGCCGCGGCACTGCCGGTCGATGACGTTCGGTGCATCTTCACCTGTCGGCAGCCGGGCGGGACGAGCCGTACGGCCGGGTTGTTTAAACAGCAGGGACCAGCGGGATCCGCTGATTGATGGACGACAGGCGATAAAATGTGTTCGGTCATCGCTCCGTTTCTCGTCTCGTTGGGAGTCCGACACGCTCCATTATCGCTGGGAATCTGGCGGCGCTCCATAATCTGGAGGTCATCGTCCGACGCCGCCATCCACCCCGGAAGAGCGCCGATCAAGGGCCGTGTGGGGGCTCCACTGCTCACTTCTGCTGCTCCTCGCTGGCATCCCATTAGGTATACGGGGCTTTGAATCAATAAATGTGTTTTGTGGCCAAGTGTGCTTATCAGACTGTTTGATCATATTTTCTTGAGACCTCTTGAGACAATGTTTTAGATGTAGATGTGTAAAAAAATAACTACTCGCTTAATGTTTGGTCAGTATTGAAGTACAGTGTGTAATCAATTTAGAAAAGCACGTAGCCTAAACTTTGAACGTTTTGACATAATAATAGCGACGCTGATCTCTGATGATGATGAGTTTGTGTCCCCGTATAAATGAACCCGCGAACGCGGTTTTCACCCTTACCGAGCTGCCACCCCGGGTTGAGGGTACTGGGCCGGCGGCGGTGCAGGAGGGTCCATTAGCATGCATTGTGGCGGGTCGGGAGGCGACGCCCCGCCTGCAACCGTCGACTTTGGATGGGTGAGCGGGGCGCGGCTGATTTACACCCGTGTCCGCGACTGCCGGGGCTGCTCTGCACTCTCACTAGAGCGCGAGGGATTCGCCCACACTTTGAGATTCAACTCCTAGCATAGGTGGAATGAGTCTGGAGGCTTGAATACATTCGAAGGGGTTCGAAGCTTGAAATGTGTACAAGGGCTGCGGTCCGCTTAGATGCGTTATGATATGATAGTATGCATAATGTATAATGCATTGGAGTGTATATACATATAATACAATATGATATGGACACAATAAAATATGATATGACATAAATTAGTACGTTATGTACGTCGCAAGTATCTCCCGAAACGTACAAGGCAAAAAGGCCATGCAAATCAGTCAGTAATTATTGCAACGGAAAAATCTTCAATTTCTTATCAGACACAGTTTTTGGCGGAGCCGACAAGTTCAAGTGCACCAATGTAGTGCATCACTCAAATGTAATCTCGAAGGCCGCGAACTTCGTTGCATGCACTGCCTGGTGTAACCATAACGCCACGCTCCCGACGCCTGCCAGTGCAGCACAGCGACGGGGCACCTCTGGAGCAAATGGACACGAACATGACAGGACATTGACACAACAACTGGCGGACACCATTCATGGCTTTCAGACATGCAAAGACGGGACACACAGTGCAAATTTGGTAAGCGTATATATATTATAATATATATATATATATATATATGTGTGTGTGTGGGTGTGTGTGATATAGGTATAGGTATAAAAACGACATGCTACCTCTATTAGCATGTGAGTGTATGAATGTCAATTGGGCCCAAATTATTTCTAATCAAATTGGTCATAATACGAGCCACGAAGGGCATGATTCTATCCAGATGATGGCCGCCGGAACTTGCGCCGTAGTATTGATTATGGTCTATACATTTATTTCCTTTTGTCGGAATCTGGGGAAGATTTGATAACGATTTAAGTTTCTACATACCTTGTGGAGAGTACGTTTTGTATCCCCCTATTCAGGGCGTAGTGCTCATATGATGTGCTCATATGCGTAAGGAGAAAAGGCTTATCTTCAAATCTAGCTTTGGTGAGGCCGCATCTCTTTAGAAACTGAGTGCTGTAGATCATGCACTCTCATTTAGCGCGACTCACAGAATTGCATGTTGTGGGTAGCAATATTACATTTTACCTTAAGATTGAGCAACCGTGACAGGAGTGTAGGATACCTAAGAGAATACCTGTAGGATACCTAACTCTTCCATTTCCGCATGTGAATCTGTAATATAGCCTGCGCTGAATGTTGGAGACGGCTTAAGATTCATTGGCGATAACCCGCAAGTTATGTGGTCAGGCGACTGCCTACCAGCTCTGCAACGGCCTTTGGTCTGGGTTTGGATTTATTACCTTCGTGGTGCCTTCGTTTGCACGTCGAGACCGGTTCTTCTGTCGAGAACAGACAGTTGACTTATGTCATCTGCCAGCATGAATCCCTATCTTCGGCGCTTGGAACCGAGGTGGCCATCCACCAGCCTGGTCCTGATTGGGATATTGGGATTTGGATAATAGCTCTATACCAAGTCAAGTCGGCAGGACCGGTGCACATAACCCGCCCGCTGCGTATCTGGTCCTCCGTGGTCCGCTGTGTTCGTGGCTGGAGCGGTAGTGTACCGCTGGTGCTGCCCGGTCTACCGCCGGTGCGGTACTCGTGTCCGCGGCACCCGTGGCAGCGGGCGACGGGTACCTTACCCCTCCGTGGTCCGCTGCGTTCGTGGCTGGAGCGGTAGTGTACCGCTGGTGCTGCCCGGTCTACCGCCGGTGCGGTACTCGTGTCCGCGGCACCCGTGGCGGCGGGCGACGGGTACCTTACCCCTCCGTGGTCCGCTGCGTTCGTGGCTGGAGCGGTAGTGTACCGCTGGTGCCGCCTGGTCTACCGCCGGTGCGGTACTCGTGTCCGCGGCACCCGTGGCGGCGGGCGACGGGTGCCTGACCACGGAACCGGCGGCTGCTGCGGCCGGCGGCGGCTCCCCGGGCATTGCCAGTGTAACAGGCAGGTGGCAGTGACAGGCACGTCATTACTGGGGTGTTTAGACGGATCGCGGGGATGCAGAAAACAGCAGCCGCGTACTGGCAGCGGTCCTGTCGCATGTGTGACTGTTCTTCGGCATTGGAAGTGTTCTCTGCAAAGGTGACGGTTCATACGCGTCATGGTCATGGTCATGCGTCATGCGTCATGGTCTCCGGTGTTGAGAAAGGTATAGTGCCTACGTGGCGGGTTCCACGGTGTTGACAGCGTTTCACGGCGTGCGTGACAGATCCCATTTCTGTTGACAGGTCTTCGTTCTGCTGGCGCTGGCCGTCACTTGCGCTCCCTCCCCCGTGTGGGGGAGGGGCGCAGGTGGATGGCTTGAAACTTCTCCTTCGAGGACGACAGCGAGAAAGAGAAGGAAGTGATCCTGCTGGATATAGCGCCGCGCCGAGAAAAGATTCGACTTCAGGTTCGACAATAAAGACGGTACGACACTGCATTCAGAGCACTAAACCCTCGGCCACAAAATGTTCCATTTATACTTTCCGTCCAGGATATCTATCCGGCGAGAGGGATAATCCTCGGGTTGCGCTATAGCAGTCGAAAGGTTTCTTACCTTAGAAAGTCCCTTTGGGAGGTCGTGCAATTTTGAAATGGACTTGAGCCCTCGTTTTCGTTTTGTGGCTGGTAGACGCCAACATTGACATGGTCCGAGTGGCCGGAGTGCACAGTTGTTGTGCACTCACTCGAGTGGAACGTGTTTGCTTTTGAGCGATTCCAAACACAACCGGGACGCAGTGTCCTTGAAAACATCCGATATTCTAAGCAGTGACGCCGCCTTATGTCAGCTGATCGCTGCCTCAGACCAGCAGTGAAGTCGTTGCGTTGAAAATTTTCTCACTTGCTTGGGCGCCCTGTGAAAACTTTGCCATTCATCTACGCAGTGTGCCATGCACATTTTCCCCTGTGACCTCCTCAGATTCGCCAGTCAGCCCCTCCATTGGCGCACGGTACACAACGTGGCACCGCTCCGTACCTCCCCGAGCCCGTAACAGTAGGTCCACCTCACCACGCACGACCCTCCGGCGCCCCAGGCACGTACCAGCACGGCTACCAGTCCGGGCGGCTCGGCGACACGGCGGCTACAACTTCAAGCACGAGTACAACAGGAGGACGGGTGCGGTTCGGCCAGTACGGCTACGAGCTGCCCGACGGCACCAACCAGGTGAGACGAGTCCTGTCCTCTGATTGGTCCTCCAATGTTCGCGTCAGCGGGTCCCAGCAGTGCGCGCTCACCAATTCGAAATGTTTTCGACGGCACTTTCCAGTCAGCAACCAGCGGTTGGAACACACCAGGCGCTACGACGAATGTGCTTGCTTTTTTGCTCATCTGATTGGAGCTCCAGGATGCCCCAGCTCGCACGATTTGATTGAATGCACTGAATCATGTCAGATATTCCTTTTGGCTGTTGGATGCCGCGCTCACCGGGACTGCTGTGTCTGTCTTGCAATAGCATTTGCTATTTACAAATGGTTTCATAGTGCAGGTGTCAGAAGGTGTTATTTTCGGATGTTTTGGTCGCAGCGCTGGCATCCGGGGTCACGATTGTCGGCCTCAGCCGAGTTGCTCGCAGAGGGAGGTCTCCGCAACCGTCATCCTTGGATGGCTCGCGTGCACCGTGCTGACTGTGCGCCCCATGACCCCGTCTTGGTTCGGAGCCGAGCCTTCAGACCGGTCTTACAGCGGTCCTGAACCCGGTGACCCTCGTTTGGTGTCGTCTACGACCGCAGAGTTAATTGGGCGACACCCGGCCGTGCTGCTGCCTGAACCGATCTGGTAAGCACTTGGCAAGGAGAAATAGTGCGGTAATCTTGAAGTATGAGACGTTCGATGGCACCTACCTTTTTCATTGACTAGACTCGAGGTGGAAGTCCTCCCCTCTCCCTTCCTCCCTTCTGCAATTTATGTTGCTCTCTTGCTGAGCTGCGTGCGCCGTCCTTTTCAGACAGTCAACTACGTGGCCGATGCCAACGGCTACCGCGTGCTGGCCGAGGGCCAGAAGTACGTCCCAGTCAGCGAGCGCGAGCTGGAGCGGCGGCGCGGTATCCTCGAGGACATCCAGGCCGAAGAGGAGGAGCAGGAGCCGCTTAATCTGGACCTCACTCTCCTGGAACGCATCGCGTGAGTCTCGCAACCGAATTGAGCACGATGTTCACCAGTCCACACCCGTGGAGTCAGTCTGTGCATCGGGTGTAGAGGATTACCACATGTATGCAGTGTACCGCAACATGCATTCAATCACAGCACTCCCACCCGCAACAAGCTGGTATTAGCTCGTACATTTTGGCATAAGGCGAGAGTAATACACAATGCCGGCACGCTGCACCATGTCGACACGCGTCGTCAGCACGCCGCACCACGTCAACACGTGCCGTCACCAGGCTGCACACCAGCCCAAGTGTCGCTGGGATCTGCCGCTCACTGGTCGGTGCGGTGCCTCGCAGTGACCCGGCCGAGGTGGAGCTGGAGTCGGATCCGGCCGTGGCACTGTCGGCCGCCAAACCGCTGCAGCCGCACTCCGCAGCTCGACCCCGACACGAACGCCTTCCAGTTCGGCTTCCGCTCGGCCTCCGACGACGGCGTGCTGTACCGGCACGAGGAGCGCGACGAGGAGGGCGTGGTGTCCGGCCAGTACGGCTACCGCCCCGCCGGCGGCGAGCCCGTGCTTGTCTCGTACGTGTCCGACGCCTTCGGGTACCGCGTGGTGGACCCGGCGGCGCCCGTGGCCGTCGTGAGCCAGCAGCAGGCGCAGGAGCAGCTGGGCGAACTGGCCGAGGGCTCCGGCTTGGCGACGGAGGAGACCGCGCCCGCAGCAGAGGAGGAGGAGGAGGAGGAGGAGGAGGAGGAGATGAAGCCCACACCGGAGGGCGGTGTGCTGCCGGTGCCCCGGCCGGTGGCCGCACCTGAATTGGAGGCCCAGTCTCAGGGTCAGGCTCAGCCGGAGCAGCAGCCCCAGGCGACGCTAGCCGCCACAGGTGGCGCCACTGCCGCAGCCGACGGGTGGTCCTGGAGGCCGCCGATGGCGCCACCGCCGCGGCCGACGGCGTGGTCGTGAAGGCCGCAGGTGGCGCCACCGTCGACTCTGTGAGGCCCTACTTCCGTCCGCACGTGCCCCAGCTCTCGGCCGTGCTGCCGTACGGCGCCCTCGTCCCCTACGCCGCCGTCCCGTACGCGGCCGGCGCAGTCCCGCTGCGCATGTTCAGCAGCGCCCGCGACCGGTCCTGTACCAGCGGCCGCTGCCGTACCCGGTGTACCGGTACCCGCAGTATCGGGCTGCGGCCGAGGGTGCGCACTGACGACGTCCTTGTGACCGACTCCATAAGCTTGTTATGACCCCTGGCTGCCGACGGGGGCGCCTCGTTCACCGCCGGCCGCCAGGGGTCAGCGTTGTTATTGCTCATAACAGTTCCCGCAGAAATAAGCCAGAATAAAAAAATAAGTCGGTGATGTAGGATGAGGGTGATATTAAGCAGGTGTGCAAAGTCTGTGTATTTGATTACGCAGAATATTATCAGGGCATTACGCGCACGGTTCGGCCATTGGTCATTTGTATCTCTTGTTGTAACGACGCATGTATGCATTTGAATGTAAGCAGATATGGTATAGATAAAGTCTCATTTAGCATGATGTCTGATAACAGATGGTGAACCTGTCATAAATATTTACACTCAGTTAGCAGAAAAGAAGGTGTTATCAGAAGCTTTCACTTCATAAAGCCCACACTATCTTTTGTGTGACGCAAATGTCATTGCGATCCAATGACAGTCAGAGCCAAAAAAGCTAACTCTGGTGACTCAAACGGGACGGTGCAAATCTAAAGCCACTCTCGAATCACAGCGCAAAGATTTACGTACGCTGTGACGAGGACTCCGCTTTCTTAACGTGGCCCGCGTATCATGGTACATGCACCTTGAAGCCTGAGACCGAAGGTGCTTATCTATGGAACTTGGCTGCCGCTGACGACTGTTTCTCTGACGTCTGAAAACGGTATCCTAAAAGGCGATGGTGGCCAAAAGACCGAGAATGGCCACAAGTGACTGAGTGGCGAGAACGGCTCCAAAAATGGCCATTTAATTTGAGAACAGTTTTACTTGGTAGCATCTAGTGTGCTGCCTCCCATCCCCTCCCGACCATTCACTTGGTGAAATGCTTGGATTGCTCACGATTTTGCCATGCTGCCAATTTTGGCAGCTCAAAACACTTAGTTTTCACTCATGCGTTTAATTTGGAAGAGCTAAATATACTGCTTACTTAGCAGGTGTTCCAAAAAACCCTTGATTGGGCGTCGGGGGGGGGGGGGGGCACATAGTGGTCGCGTGGTCATATGCATAAGAGTGCGTGTCATGGATGTCCTGAACTGTGAGATAAATGACAAATAAAGGGAAAAAAACGTACCGATGAACCGGGTTTTATGAGCGCAGCGTTGCTCGCATGTTACATGAACGGATCCAATTGTGATATAACGTTAGCAGATGCGCGTTTTACAGCAGAACGTACGTCATGTTTTCGCAGGTATGACTCATTATGTATGCAAATGGTCATGAATGCAAGATGAATGATACTTCAAAAACAAAGATTGCTGATAGGCGACCCTTTAAGAAACCCGACATGGCTCGAGCTGCATTTTAGGGGCGACTAAGGCCTAACGTGTTTTGCATAAATTGGGCGTCTTTTCACATAAAGTAACTTAGGTTATCTCCAGTTTTACACAGTCAAATTGAAGATACGATCAAACGACTTGCCATGCTTCATATTAAATGAATTGTTGAAAACCCTTCTAAAAGTTTCCGGGCATGGGGTGAGCTAAATATAAATCTAATATAGAAGAGAAAACGAAGCGGTGAAAAAAACGGTCTAAGCCTTCACAAAAAGTAAACAACAACAAAAAAGATGGAGTGGAGCGATGCGAAATCTTGAGTATATGTTTATTGCTATTCGTGTTGCACTCGGGGTGACGGGGAGGTGAAGTTCAAAGCAAGTCACTGCGTTGGTGGAGATTAGAATGACGTTGAAGTCTAAAATCAGGGCACTCGTAACTTGATTGGTATGGACAGTTTTGGTGAGCATTGCAGATGTCACCCGTTCGCGGAAATGCGGAACTTGGTTTGAGGTTAAAGTCTAAGATACAAGCCCTCATAACTTGGTTAGGTATGGGTAGTTTTGACAGGCATTCCAAATGTCTCCCGTTATGTGTTACGTGAACATTTACTGGTTTTGCTTGGTCTTAAAGCATTTCACGGTCTTACAACTTGTAGTGGGTTGATTTAAAAGGAGTATTCCGGCAGTTGCTGACCAGGCTGGCAGTAGCCAACTTCAAAGTTTTGCTCCCAAGTGACTGAGTCTGTATTTTCTGCATCATCGCCTATCAGGCACATTCGTAATATACTTCATAGCTTTCGATTCCGATGCCTCTTTCGGAACTGGATATGAAGTGAGATACGCAGTGTATTTATTTCAACCTAGCCTCCGTTAATGACCTGACCGGCAATGCAGATGACTATTACGGACAATATTTAAGAAAACATGTTCAAGGAAATGTTGGGACGTAGCCAAGGATGGGGAAAAGAGAATATAGCGTCTAAGACTGGAGGTTAACACTAGGTACTAGGTAATTTCGCGGCAATCGGGTCCAAGCTCGCAGGTTTGCAAAACATATCGAACGTAAATGCTAGCAGCCAAAATTAATGTTTAACAAGCACACCAAAAACTTTTGACGTCCAGCGTCTAAGCTCAGGTTTGGTTTTTCATACTGCTTGTGACATTTCGACAGGTATTCGCCTGGTTTTGCCACACAATATTCGTACAATTTCCCGCGCACCTTCTCCACAAACTGGTTCTGACTGGCTTTGTGGGCATATACAGCTCACGTTGGTTGGCTTGTCACGAGCTGTCGTTTGCGAGTCGCCGGTGCGCCCCCAACAGCCAGCAGATTTGTTGCGCATGATGTCATCCGACTCCACCTCTAGCCTGCAAGCCCCCGGTGTGCACCTGCACATGCAGGTAAACGATGCATGTTTGGGCGCAGTGGGCACTGGACGCCATCGGCTTCTGGTAAAGCGAGATCAAATCCTCGCATCCCTATTGCACATGTTTTAATTCCGAAAGCACCAACCGACCAGCCATCGCGCGCCAGCGGTTTGCCTCACGCAAGTGATGGGCGCGAAAATATGGGGTCACCACCGGTAGTTGCCTGGGCTCCTACTCTGTATCTGCCTGGGGAGCCATGACCGGATGTCTTATCTCTTAGCTTCACCTTGGTTGATAAGACCATCCATGCCTGAGATTAGCTAAGCTTGCATGCGCAGGAAAAAACACAGGGCCTATATGCTAAGTGAAGAGATTTCGAGCCTCCAGCTTATAACTAAGCCTTTTTAACGTTACAGCGAGCCCACTCAACTTAAACATCACGCTCATAGAAATAACAAGCGGCATTATGCAAACTAAATGGAAAAAATATTTCGTGTTTCCAAAGTCTTCTTCCTAACAGACCACCAATTAGATTGGTATCTATATGTGCAGACAAAAACTAGCGGCCAATATTGACCAATTGTCTTCAGAGACCAAACATAATTGTCCAAAGCCGGCGACAAACCGACAACTGGAGTAAACAGGTTTATTGCTCTCGGACAAAGCTCCACTTCATCCAAGCTGAGTTTGTGAAATCCCACCTCAACCGTCGTGACTTCCCACAGCCGTCGCCCTAGCCGGTGCTGGTGTTAAAAGCGCCATGGGAAGCGGCACTGGCAAGCAGCCAGCTGACTCTGCACTGCTGCCTTCACTGGGCGGAGAGGTCTCACCAGGCTGCGGTGTTTCAGTCGTATCGCCTCAGACCTCGCAGCGTCTCGGCCTGCTCGGACTAGCGTTGAGCTGTCGCGTCAAACAGGGCGACAAACTTCAAGATTTTGGGTGAAAAATGACATCTTAGACGGGCCATTGGGGGGTTCTCAGTTTTGCAGTCTGCTGGTTCTCTCGGCTTTCCACTCATGTATGTATTGGTTTTGCCGCCGAGTCCGGTCTCCATGGGGGCTTTAGCGAGGACATTTCGGACTCCATGACGCTTTTTAAGCGATTCTGACACACTCGTGACAAATGTAGTGTCATGCCGTGGATGGCATCATCACTGATTGCAGCAGCATTACGACGTTGTTTGAGAGATTTATGGCTGTATACGGACCAGCCTTTAGGGATCAACAGCCACATTACGTTTTTGGCGTTGGCAAGGCTACGTCACGTGTTCAGCCCGTGTTCTTCAATGCCGTTCTGCTATCTACATTACGAGATTAACCATTGACTTGCATGTGCAACGATGCGAGGTGACAAAGCGCGACGGACGTAACCTTAGTGGGGCTCGTGTATTCTCTTAGGCGTTTGTAAAGCCATGTTCTACATAATTAGGACGGGCTGATTGATGAGACAAAAGAGGAAAGACGTTGCGTTTTTATTAGGGAGGTTTTGCTTAACATTTAATGGGCTTTAAGCGTAAGACGCCTGTTTTGAGATGGTAATCACGTCAGCC